TCCTCGTTGTATTTGGTGCTCACGTTTCTCCCTCTTTTACAAGAAAGCCGTTACACATGTCGATCCAGCTTGTCCTTTTGTTCGCAATTTTGAAACTGTTTCTCCCGATGCCTGATTCTGATATCTTGTCTGATTTTGTAATCCTGCTCCTGTAGGGTGCAGGCTGTGCATTGATGGGCAGGCAGACTCGATTTGAGCGAGTCGTTCGCAGTGTCTCCGCTGTAAGTATTCCTGTGCACTCTCTCTCTTTCCTCTCTCTCTCTCTCTCTCTCTCTCTCTCTCTCTCTCTCTCTCTCTCTCTCTCTCTCTCTCTCTCTCTCTCTCTCTCTCTCTCTCTCTCTCTCTCTCTCTCTCTCTCTCTCTCTCTCTCTCTCTCTCTCTCTCTCTCTCTCTCTCTCTCTCTCTCTCTCTCTCTCTCTCTCTCTCTCTCTCTCTCTCTGAATTCTAAATTCTAGCCATCCGAAACCCCGACCACCCTCAAAAATAGGTTTTCTCCTTGGGTTGCAGATGGCTGAACTCTTGTTTCTGCATGAGGAAGAAGAAACAAGGCGGAAAATTCTACTGGAAAAGTACTGGGCCAATGTAGTGTACAGTCAGACCTCGCTTATCCGGTCCTCTTTTTTCCGGATCGTCGGTTACCAATTTACACCATTTTGTTGTTGTTGTTGTTGTTGTTGTTGTTGTTGTTGTTGTTGTTGTTGTTGTTGTTGTTGTTGTTGTTGTTGTTGTTATATTCTTTTATTTCAATTCGCTCAGGGCACAGGCAATACTGCCTTCTCACCTCAGAGAGGATTCTCCGATTCCTACCAAAAACGAGAAATCTGTGATATGAATATGTATGAGAAAGAAATGAGAAGAATGGATAATGATGATGTCGGATTACGATAGTTTAGGTGTTATGCGAGATTTCCCTGACGATTGCAAATGTGCAGAAAGGATGCGAGAACAAAAATACAGCGTTCCTGAAGGCAATGGTGCACATAAATAGAGCATAAGGCAATGGTGCAGAAAAGAGGTGAGAACTTACAAACAAGGCAATCGTGCAGAAAAAGAGGGAACTGAAGAACTAGCGGTTCTAGAGGCTAAGGCACAAAGAGGTAGGGACAAGCGACTCAATACAGTGTCAGATGGTGCAATGAATTCATCCTTTTGTGATACACATCTAACTTCAGACGGCAGCTTATTCCAAAGAATGGCACCTTGGAAACGGATGGAGGACCGTCCAGCAGGACCCGGAAGGAAGGGGACACGTAAGAGCCATGTCACCTGTCCGCGAGTGGCTTTTCGGTCATGATCTTCTTGAGAAGGTGCGGTTGAGGTGAAAAAAGACGAAAACAAGTGACTTGACAGCTGCAGGCAACGGAGTACAAACATGAAGAGCTTTCGCTGAAACAATCTCTCAATGGTGGACAATGAGAGTCTCTCTCGTAGCGGCTGAGTCGCGATCGGGTTCTGCAGTCGTAGGATTGCTCGAACCCCGGACTTCGCCGATCTTTCGAGCTGCGTGAGACCAGCGGCAGACAGCGAGGGGAAGAAGGCGTTTGCGGCGTAGCACAGCTTGGCTTGTATCATGGCAACATACCATATCCGGCGGGCCGTGATGCTACGTGCATCCCCGTGTCGCCATAGACGACTTACGGCCTTCCCTGTCTGGCTAGCAAGGTGTTGGATGTGGGACCGCCAGCTCAGGTCGTCGTCGAAAATGACACCAAGGTATTTTGCGGATGACACTGTGGCAAGCTCATCTCCATTGCAACGGACGCGATCGACTGGATCTTGTTGCCCTCGAGGCTTCAAAAACATTACTTGGGTCTTCTTCTTGTTCAGAAGAAGGTCAATGTCTCCAAACCATTCCGCTAGCACGGTTACTGCGTTCGAGAGGAACTGCACAAGTGCTACATTTGCGTGTGAAAATTCTATTGCGATGTCGTCAGCAAACCATTTGCCATGAATACACACAGTATGTGTGTTCGATTATCCGGTTCCCTCACCTATCCAGACATTTTGTGGAAAGCAGATGTGTGCAGTTATGCGAGGTCTGACTGTACTTGTATAGAAAGTTAGTGATAATTTGATAAGGCATCTGCAAGCTGGAGAAGAGAATTCTAAATTCTAGCCACCCCAAACCAGGACCACCATAAAAAAAAGGGTTTTCTCCTTGGCTTGCAGATGGCTGGACTCTTGTTGCTTCTGCATGAGGAAGGAGAAACAAGCCGGAAATTCTACCGGAAAAGAAAATCTGAAATTTCTCTCTCTCCCTCTCTCTCCTCTCTCTCTCTCTCTCACTCTCTTTCCCTCTCTGTCTCTCTCTCTCTCTCTCCCTCTCTGTGTCTCTCTCTCTCTCTCTCACTCTCTTTCACTCTTTCTCTCTCTCTCTCTCTCACTCTCTCTCTCTCTCTCTCTCTCTCTCTCTCTCTCTCCTCCTCTGTCTCTCTCTCTGTCTCTCTCTCTGTCTCTCTCTTTCTCTCTCTCTCTCTCTCTCTCTCTCTCTCTCTCTCTCTCTCTCTCTCTCTCTCTCTCTCTCTCTCTCTCTCCGCAGGCCATGGATATTCCTCTGACTGTCAAGATGCGCACCGGTGTGTATGACAGGAAATACAACGCTCATGAGCTCATACCCAAACTCTACGACTGGGGAGCATCACTGGTCACTGTAAGTAGTACCAAGAGTACATAAGTCAAACGCTCCCAACAGTGTGCAACTCTGGACACTTAGGGGGTGATTATATGTGCAGCTCCAGCCCGGGCTGGTCGACAGGCGGGCCAGCCCGCCTGCAACGGGATCTCGGGGTTGTACACAAATGCACACAAAACCTGTGGTGCGTTTACACGGCAAGCGGGCTGGCCCGGCGAGGCGGAATCCCGCCCCGAGCCACCCGGGATCCCGGCTAGGCGGGCCAGAAAAAGCACATATAAACAGACCAGCCCGGGCCAGAGTTGTATTATTATGGTGTCTACACTGCGTTCATACTACAAAATAGGTACTTTTACCTTTTGAGGGAAGTTGTAAAGAGGATTCCCGATATTGCCTTGAAAATCTATGAAGCTTTTTGTACAGCAACAAGCAGGACGTGCAGTGAGCACTGTTTATTTGTCGACATGCATGATTTACATTAAAAAAGAAGGGGAACTACTTGCAAAATACTTTGATATGGACGGCTAAAAATGTGAAAAACAGGAAAAAGAAATGAGGTGATACAACACACCAAACATGTGCCACAGCGCGAAAAGAAATTAGCAGAAGAATACATTGTGTGAGAAATTTTTTTTTAGGTTTATAACCTGAGTATGGCTTGCAGCCCTGCGTTTCAGCCCGGGGCAGCACACTACAGTCGTAGTGTGTTTGCTGCATACTCACAACGGGCTGGCGTGTGCTCAGCGCATATAAACTCACTGCGGGCTGGCGACCAGCCCGGCCTTGCACATGTTAACACCCTTGGCGGGCTGGCCCGCTCGCTCCAGCCCGGGCTGGAGTTGCACATATAATTGGCCCCTTAGATCCTTTCTATGGGTTCCGCTGACGACGAAAAACCACATATCAAACACGTTGTAGTGTTCCCGTTATTCATTCCCAGCCCGTTTTAGCGACCATTTGAGTTGGAAAAACATAGCACTCCCTGACAGAAATCCACTCAGCTTATGCCAGTCATCAGCATGATCATAACAGATATTCGGACTGCACGCATGCTGGCCGTCGTTGTGCGTACTTCAGTAGTACAAATCATACTTTGAATACGTGATGTGGGTTTTGCCGGCGGTGGCGGTGGTGTTGCTGCTGCCGACGTCCTCATCATTGTTGGTGCTCCTGTGTTTGATCTTGTGTCCCTGTAAAGGTGCATGGTCGTTCCCGTGAGCAACGCTACACACGCTCAGCTGATTGGGACTACCTCTCCAAGTGTGCGTCTGCAGCGGACGGACGCTATTTCTACGGTTAGTTGTTGGGCTGCTCTCAATTTCGACTGGCCGGTTTGTGGCTGGCATGTGTGCAAGCGTATGTGTGCGTAGATGTTGGGGAGGGGGGTGGGGGTAGGGGGAGAGGGAGTACGAACGCCGAAGATTAGTGTGCTGATCCGTACATACAGGCATACCGGTATTTACTGTAGTGGCTAAATAGATAGATGCCCGGCCAGGCACCAAGGCGAAAGAGCCTCTATTGCACGGTCTACAGACAGCACGCCGAGGGATTGCGGGACTATCTGGCAGGGAGGTGCTCTGCTACACACAGCATGTTAGTACAGTGTTTCTTTGCTTCATTTTCTCTACTGCACCTTCTGCCGCACACGCAGGCAATGGAGACATTCTATCGTACGAAGACTTTGAGAACCATCGCAACATAACCGGCCTATCTGGTGTTATGCTGGCCAGGTGAGTCGGGAGTGCAAACACTTGGGATGCTCTCTCCTCCACTTGTCTTTCTCTCTCTCTCTGTTTGGAATATAAACTGAGTCGTACGTGTACATTGGATGCAATGTGCATGGTGCTGTGCGCTGTGTTGAACTCTGTGCTCTATGCTGTGCACTGTGTTGAACTCTGTGCTCTATGCTGTGCACTGTGTTGAACTCTGTGCTGCTGTGCACTGTGTTGAACTCTGTGCTGCTGTGCACTGTGTTGAACTCTGTGCTCTATGCTGTGCACTGTGTTGCTGTGTGCTGACTATTGTAGGGGTGCTCTCATCAAGCCATGGCTGTTTACGGAGATCAAGGAGAAGCGGCACTGGGACATCTCGTCTTCAGAGCGATTCGACATCCTGCGTGACTTCAGCAAATATGGCCTAGCTCACTGGGGCTCTGACTCTAAGGTACGGGGTGGTGTGTGCATGAGCTTAGTGTGTCCAAGGACTGCTGCCCTGTGTGTGTGTGTGTGTGCACATGTGTGTGTGTGTGTTTGTGCGTGTGTGTGTGTATGTATATGTGTGTGTATATGTGTGTGTGTGTTTGTGTGTGTGTGTGTGTGTGTGCACGTGTGTGTGTGTGTGTGTGTGCACGTGTGTGTGCACGTGTGTGTGTGTGCGTGTGCATGTGTGCGGGTGTGCGCTGGTGTGGCACACGTTTGCTCCATACATTTCAGTTTACAATGTACTTGCCGCTGGACTGTCTCAAATCGTTAAAGTCGACAAATTTTCGGCCCATTCAAATTTCGGCCTCCCAGGGCTAAAACCCATTTCGGCCGCTTCAAACTTTCGGCTTGTACTGCTGCCGCCTGTATACACTGTCACACTGAACCTTGCAAAACGAAATTTCGGCTGCAACACATTTTCGACCAAACCTGACCAGGCCGAAAATAGCCGAAAATAAATATGCGCTGAACATTTTGTTGACTTACAGAGTATGTTACAGTACATGACTATTGCGACAAAGGCAGAAGAGAACAGAGACAACCGGCTAGGTAATTGTTGTAACGCTGCGTTTCATGCACGTAGCAAAGCTAAGGTAATCCTTAGACAACTGTATTGTGTTGATCCTGTGTCTGTGCTGCCGTGTGTAGGGCGTGGAGACCACACGACGTTTCCTCCTCGAATGGCTGTCGTTCTTACACAGGTAAGCCGGCTGCTGCGCTTGTGCATGTGTGTCTCTGTGTGTAGGTGAGGGGACACATGTATGTGTGTAGGGGGAGGGGGGTCAGCCTCGTAGCCTAGACCGTTCTTACTTTCATGTACTACAGTCTATGCGCAGTAGAGTCATCATGTATACATTGGCACGCTGTGCTTGGTGAAATTCTAGCATGTTCATTCTTCGCTGACGCTCCGTTCTTCGGCGCCCGCCAGTATTGTAATCATTCCACTGTGCGGGCAGGTGGTGTTGGGTCAAAGGAGCTAGTGTGCGATACGTGTAACTGTATGGAAACACTTCTTCAAGGGTGGTTATACTGGAGAGAATAGAGGGGGCATGTTCTGATCCTAGAATTCTTTTTTTCTTGTGAATCAGTTGGAAAGTCCGTCTGTATGGATCCCGGCCCACATGATGAAAGTGAAATGGTTGTGAATGACGTGAAAATGTCCATCCTTGGAAGGTGTCCTGTACAGGAGGTTTTTGTGAGCTCTCTCTCTCTCTCTCTCTCTCTCTCTCTCTCTCTCTCACACACACACACACACACACTCTCTCTCTCTCTCTCTCTCTCTCTCTCTCTCTCTCTCTATCTCCATGGCAATGTGTAGATACATCCCAGTTGGCATACTAGAGACTCTACCACAGCGTATCAATGAGCGCCCGGCACCGTACTTTGGCCGTGATGACATGGAAACTCTTCTGGCCAGTGACAACTGTCAGGACTGGGTTAAGATCAGGTATGCTTGTGCCAGCAGTACTACTGCAGTCGTATGTTTACAGCTATAGAGGATATGCAATGACGTCAAATCCGCCTTAACATATATTCTCTATTACAAGCACAGGTCTCCATAGCACAGTCTCTAATACTAGCACACTGTGAGTATTTTTCGAAACAAAAACCTCCTGTATCAATGAGCTCGACACAGCGAGGGTGATGCTCCTCTCCTCTCCCACGTTGCCTTTGCCTGCCCAACCGATGTCAGGTAGATTGACCTCCTGGGGGGGGGGGGGGGGGGGATAATCTACACACAAACTGGTGAGGCCCTGTTCTAGCCAGTTTGCCAACCACGTCGTACCCCTGTGTTCTTATGTCTTTACCAGTACATCGTTGCACTGGAGTCTATTGGTTGCAGCAGCAGCAGCAGCAGCAGCAGCATTCACTCCTAGACGCTGTACTGTGTACACTCTATGCATCGTGCAGTACACCCTACACGTTAGCTCATTTTGGTCTGGACTACCGTATTGTCTTGTATTAAAGCCTGTCTCATATAGAAGCATGTTTTGAATAGAAGCCTGATTTTCAAGATACACTGTCGGCACATAAGCCTGGTTTTAGTGTTGACAAACATACTAACACCTGGTTTGACAAGAAGCCTGATGTGAATAGAAGTCTGATGTGAATAGAAGCCTAGCCCTGGCATCAGCTTCTACAGGAATATGCCCGGCTTTAATACGCGACATTACGGTAAACTCTGTGAAGTGGGCACACCTACAAGTACGGCTATCAGTTCAACTTGTTCTCCTTGTTTCAACGGTGTCCTTCCGCTTGCTGGCCATTCTGATCTCTTTCTATTGTTCCAATTACTAGTCTCTATTGCTGCTGCTGCTGCTGCTGCTGCTGTTTGTGGTGGTGGTGGTGATGATGATGCTGCTGTTTGTGCTGCTGTTGTTGCTGGCGTGGGTGGTGCTGCTACTGGTGTTGCTGTTCGTGCTGGTGTGCTTGTTTGCAGTGAGATGTTGCTGGGACCAGTTGCCGATGGGTTCTCGTTCCTCCCCAAGCACCGTGCCAACTCATACCAGGCGCCGTCTCAGTGATAACGACGACCGCCGCGGCAGCAATGCTGCTCTGCACCTTGTGGACACACTCACACGTACCCACAGTCTTTGTGTGTGTGGGGGGGGGGGGGCAGGCCAGGCGAAGACTATGTTGCCTTGGCTGTGGAGCTACCGAGAGTGTGGTGCTTGTGCTTGATCGCCAGTACATGTAATGCTGTCCGACAACTGCCAACCTTTTAGAAAGCTGAAGCCGCAGCTGCACAGCCATTTGGCTGAACCACGACTACTGCAGAACTGATCTCTGTGATAGTGTTTTGTTCAGTTTCAATCAATTTAACCAAGAGTCCATGAACAACGATTACAATGTGCAACTGTGGTCTCTTTTCTATCGGCCAGATGTGTAGCACGCTGCCTTTATTACATCATTCAGCTGCAATGCGGGTCTGGACTTCACGAGCCCAGAATTGATACTGCGTGGCTACTCGATCGAATCCAGCAAAAACGGATGTGCTGGTATGAGAAGTTGTGGGTTTGAGTGCATGTGTCCAGAGAGTGATAAGTTCCATAATGAAGGCTGTGCCGTGCACGTCCCCATGACCACAGTTACATAGTGTTTACGGGCTCTTGATTTAACCTGTTAAGTGTTAACCCGGTAGCGATGACCAAATTTACCTACCGCTAGCTTTAGTTACTGGTTGCAATTTCTTTTAAAGATCTTCGACGTCTGTTCAGTGTTGTCTGTTGACAGTTTTCCTGCTGACTATCGTCTGCCTTTATATACATGCATTCATGTTCTGTTTTGTTGCGTTGCGTTACCTTGGAGCAGCTTATGCGAATGTCAAGCTTGCTTAGCGATGCCAACGCAGAAAGATTATTTCATGTCGCCTACACGTACATAATTCTACTTGTTGTAATGACAGTACTTCAAAGTACAAACAAGTGTTTGGTATTGTGTTATTTTCCAGTACAAGAGGTGTGTTTCCTGAACAAGTGTGCTGGACATAACAGGGGAGCTCAGCTCAGGTCCCATCCGCTATGCTTGATCTTTGCCTACATGACATTGTATTTCATCAACAGGGAGTATAGAAACCTCCCTGGTCATCAAAGAGCTAGCTATGTCATGCATGGGTGAACGTGTGGTCTCCGTCTGGCCCTTTGGGCCCTGTCACGTTACATGCAAACATGTATAGCACACACTAACATACGGAAAAAAATGCACTGCGGACCAAGACTAGCGCCAGACGCTACTATGTTACTGTAAATCAACTAATTTTCACTGGGGATTTTATTTCGCTGATTTTGCCGCTTGGTACCAACCGGCTAAAAAGTAAATCGCAGGCCAAAGCTTGTCATAGAGGCAAATTATGCATGGTTGAGCCATGAGAGCAAAACCTACTGGCTGATTTCTTTTTTTGAAAACCCAATTGGCCAAAGTTTAAAGGGGAAAAAATGTTCATGGTTCGCGTGAGACTCGGCTGGAAGCCGGGTTTTCCGCATCCGTAGGAACGCAACCACCCTTCAAGGATCAAGGCGCAGATGCAGCTCCTAAAGCGGTGGGAGGTGAGTTAATGATGGCCAAAAGGATCTCACCAGCCAAATATTGTTGCAGTAATCGTATCCATTCACCATGTTCACTAGCTCATGTGTTGCTGCACAGCCTGATGGATTTAATGATTTATATTTTTAAAGGATTGTCTAAAGGCTGCGAAAAAGTCTTGCACGAGGGATGTACGGAATTGCCGAGGATGTTCAATCTCCCGAGCACACTCGGGTAATGAATTCCAAACTGATAGACGTTGAGATATGTAGACGGGAGTATTATGTTTAAACAAACAAAGTGGAGTGTGTGTTTATATGGGTCTTACTGAGCTGTGTTCCGCACCTTGCAAGGGCACGACTCCGACACCATGTGCCAGCATTGTTGTACATGTATTGGTCCATGTGCCAGTAGCGCTATTGACTTAGTGGACATATACAATCAACTTCGCTTATAACGACACTCGGCGGGGCATCAGAAAAGTGTGCTTATTCGCGAAGTCTCATTATTATGTATTACAGTCAAATAGGACTTTGCTCTGGGCATGGAAATTCGGTCGTTATTCGCGAATTGTCGTTATATCCGCAGTCGTTATTAGCGAATTGTCGTTATATCCGCAGTCGTTATCCGCGAATTGTCGTTATATCCGCAGTCGTTATTAGCAAAGTTGACTGTACCGGTAGCTAGTGGGTGCCAGCTCAACAGCGCATCGCGTGTGAACATGGTGGGGTCAGCGAACTCGGCGAAGTCTTACACACTAACACCAAAAGTATAAGCCCCAGCACTCTTGCGAACACCCATACTATAACCCCCCCCCCCCCCTCCTGATTTGTACGGATGATAAATTGATAATGCAACCAAAACAGGCAATCACTCAACCGCGGATCACGCAATAACATTATGCGGGAAGTGCACAGGTAATGGAGGGTGGGAGTCGAGGCGCCCTAGGCCTTTGGCTTTGCTCACCTCATTCTACATTTGGTCCGCAACAATGTGTCTATACAGATGGCATCATACTGACATTGTGTCCACAGCAGAGTGCCGAGTATCCCTACCGCACCATAACCCGTAGCCACATCTGTGTGGCTTGGGTAGTTGAAGGAGCAGCCAAGCTTTGCATGGCTTACAGTACGGTCTGGTGCCAAAGAACGGGGGGGGGGGGGGGGGGGGGGGGGGTAAGCCTCGTGGCCTAGGCCGTTCTTAGGTTTCATGTACTACAGTCTATGCACAGTTGAGTCACCGTGTATACATTGGTATGCTGTGCTTCGTGAAATTCTAGCCTGTTCGTTCTTCACCGGCGCTACACCGCTACGTTCTTCACCGGCGCTACACCGCTACGTTCTTCACCGGCGCGACACCGCTACGTTCTTCACCGGCGCTACACCGCTACGTTCTTCACCGGCGCTACACCGCTACGTTCTTCACCGGCGCTACACCGCTACGTTCTTCACCGGCGCTACACCGCTACGTTCTTCACCGGCGCTACACCGCTACGTTCTTCGGTACCAGGCAGTCCTGTAGCTCTATACACATACTAGTACTTGCTATACTGTACTTGCTATACTGTACTTGCTACACAGCAGGGAGCTGTATTTTACCAGGGAGTCGTAAAATACCGGTATTTTACGACTCCCTGGTATACAGACACGACATGCCACTATCACTAGCAGGGTCCCAGGGTCTGGTCACAAATTTCAGTTACCGTAAAGTACCGTTGACCCGCCCCCACGCCACTCGCTTCCAGGCTGGATTTTCGGCAGGGGGCGGGAACTATGATTGTAGATCGAGGCTGTCAAGTGCTGTATGATGTACAACAATGTGGAGGATCAGACTTGATGTGCTGGATTGTGCACATTCTCATCCTGGATTGGCACGTATTGTGTACAGCAGTGCATGCATCGGCTCAACATCGTATTTCGTTGCATACGCCGAAGTCGCTTCACAGGTAGAAAATCGACAGGGGGCGGGAATTAGAGAGGGGGTGGGAATTAGAGAGGGGGCGGGGAATTAGAGAGGGGGCGGGAATTAGAGAGGGGGCGGGAATTAGAGAGGGGGCGGATCAACGGTACTTTACGGTACTAGTATTCACTGTACGGAATAGTGGTTGCGACTTCGGCGATGATTTTTTAGGAATGAGTTTGCTCCCACATGATGGCAGTCGTGAGTCAGTCAAGTGTCAAGTCAAGTCGGCGGAATATAGCGCAAGCTCCAGTGTGGGAGCAAACTCATTCCTAGTACCCACTGTACACACTGTACCCACTGTACACACTGTGTACAGTATATTGAACACTGTAGATCTACACAAAGAAGTCTGATTGGTTGGACATCTAGGCATGTGCAGGGGCGTAGCAGCCGGTCCGGCCGGTCAGGCTTTGGCCGGACCACTTTTTCGCCCAGAAGTGCCCAGAATGCAGGACTTTGCACCCTAATTTTAAAAATTTCCCGGGGGGGGACACCCCCAGACCCCCTCCAACCGGACCACCTCCAACGGCAGTGCTACGCGCCTGATGTGCCGCTGACGTAGCGGAATGGGAGGCAATTGAACTATGCTTCCACCTTCTTCGTATTTGATGGACTATTATTTTTAGAATTGTACTGGTGGTCGCATGGAAATGAGGGTTGGTCGGTGGGCCGGCCGGGGTGACCCGAAACAGCGATGAATTACATTAATTTCTGTGTGGTAAGTCGGTAACCACCAAGACATGCATTCATTCATACATAAGTTGTTGATGAATTGTGCAATTATTTTGCCCGTACACGAGGCTTTATTGTACATGTGTGTATGAGGAGAGCTCTAGAGTAGCCCCACGACCGTACTGACAGAAATACACAATTGCACTACACAAGTCATGAAAATATTACCGGCTGTCAGATCTGCAGAACCATGACTCGTCTTCCTCTTACACAAAGGCTCTGCCGCGCAATCACTCCAGCTTCACGGGCCCATGCCCAGGAAATGCTTTGTTACTAATACTAGCACCACATCTGAAACTTTTTTTTAAACTCAGCTTTTACCGTAGTCTACAAACAAGCAAGCATGTGTCTCACTCTTTCTTCATCGCAGCCTCTCCTTTCACGGTGTCGCCTGAGCCTCCACTCATGACTGACATGGCTCCGAGTCCCTTCATCGTTCGCCGTGCAGAACAGCTGACTTGCCGTTATCAAGATGAAGAAACAAACACGTACATCTACACTGTAACATGAACAGGTCAGGTAAATGTCTCGAGGCATGGCGATATTTTCTGAGTCTGAAAAGGTTTTGTTGCCCTAGCGCCTGAGCTGAGCATTCATCGATCATAATGCATGTGACCACCATACTCCGGGCTAGTGCTGACCCGAATTTGCTAGCAATTCTAGGGCTCACAGTACGTATGCTGATAGCCAGTGGACATCAGCGCCATTTTGATTTGGGGCACTCAAGTTCACGTGATCCTTTCGCGTGCGGAGCTGTATGCAGTTCTGTGCTGGCGTGTAGTCTCTGATCTACGTGCAGGCTGCAGCATGATCATGATGATGGAGCTGCTGTTTTCTTGCTCTGTCGGCAAACAAAATTTCCGACAAGTAGCTAGAAGATGGCATATGGAGAAGCTTGGGAGGCCTTGATCTTTTCTGTAGTTCGGGAGATGGACATCGAACATTACAATGGTAGTTCTCCGTGACTTACCCTTGGTACTGAGCTGTGGCTAAGGTGAAGTGAGGGACGAACTACCCAAAAATATCGCAAGCCTACAAGCGCTTCGGGTCCGTGACTAATGCCCGGGAAGAAACTGATGAAGAGTACTAGTCTGCCACGACGATACTCCACAATGACCAGCTCACACTCGGCTCTACCCACACCTGACCATGGATTTGGAAGGCCCTAAGGAAAGGAGTTCGTTCCACTGCGCAGTGAACGAAACGGCAGGTGAACAAGAGTTGTGCACGCCGTCGCGTAATTTTTGTAGTTTGAGCAAAGATCTGCGGCGCTTC